ATGATCGAAACTATACAATGTCTTTGAGCTTGGGAAAAATGTATTGAAAATAGCATCTTCTTAGATAAGAATTTCCGCCCACGCCAAACCAATGAAGCCTTCGGGTTGAAATTTTTACCGCTTATTAAGGGTGTAAAAAGTCTCAAAAATCTTGAATTACATGTGTCTGCGATGAGAATTGCATTAATTATTAGCAATTGAAAAAAACGGCCATTTTCGACCATTTTTGAGCTCTTGCGCATAAATAAATTATCGGAATTTAATCGGACTTATCCTACCTACCTACCTACCTTTTTCGTATAAACTTTTTTTCGCTATGAATAATAGTTTTTTATGTGAGTCAAAAAACCACTTTTCCATAACTTTGAACATTGTTTAAACAAAGTTTCCCAACTAGCCTCGAGTAGATTTTTTGATATTTTGTTTATAACACCTTTCCGAACAATATTCCAGAGAAATGTCTAATAATATTTTTTTCCCGAAACAGCTTGTTTCATGTCTATAATGACTAGACTATTTAAATTATTGTTAAAATAGTCTTCTCTTACCTGCTTTCCTCATCCTCCGATTTTATGTCGATACTTTCAGCTTTGATCGACATTTCCATCTCGCTGATATCGAATTCCTTGTCCTGGTCTTCAGTCTTAACGAATAAATCAGATGGTGACGTATCTATCTGACTTTCTGTTGCTGCGCTATTAAAAATACCTCTAATTTTTTCCTGTACTTGCGAGCAATTTTTTAGGAAAGTGTTGTGGGTGCACACAGAATCAAAGCATTCCTTACATACAACGGGATCTTTGATGATATTTATATTCTAAAAAGTAGTTTGAATAAATTGTGAAAAATTTAACTATTTAATGTCATTAATACCATTTCAGGAGCCAATTTCTCGATAGCTTCAAGTTCCTCTTCCCGTATGCACCTAAACTCACCTTCTACTGGATGCATACACAATCGACATATTCTCTGACTATCTGAAATATCCATTGACTCGCTGGTCTTTTCCTTCATATACGCATCTCTTATATCGAGCTGTAACATTTTTTCACAATCCACATATGGAATAATTATGTAATCGGTCTTCAGACAAGTTGCCTTAAATTCGAATGCTGCGTTTAACTCTCTTCTGCAGACGTTACATATAACCTCTTTGCCTTTGCTATCAAATTTCTGAAATATACGCAACTTTAACCAAAGAGAAAGAACTTTGGCAGAAAATATCAATTATTGTTAAGTCGCTGTAATGTGTTGAGTTGTGTGAATTGATATAACGTGGAAGTCTTCTTGAACCTTTTGTTTAATATTAAAATATATTCATTTTCTTGGTAATTGGGTTCTGGTGTGATAGTCGTTAAAAAAAGGATAAAAGAAACAGCAGCGATTTCTTTCTTGACGTTTCGTTCCTGATCAGGAACTTTTTCAAAAGATTTTTATTGTTAAAATTATATATATAGTTAATTATTAAAACCTAAAATACAACAAAATCTACTTAATATTTAGAAACAATTTTTTCCCTTTTCAGTAATTACAATTAATCTAATAGAAATATAATTTTGATAATACATACCTAAAAACAAACTACATATAACCAACTATGCATCAATAATCGTAACAGTAGACCAATTTTCACAATATAATATTATTATGGTTTTTTTAAATTTTATATAATTTTAATAATAAAACTCTTTAGAAAAAGTTCCTGATTAGTAACGAAAAGTCAAGAAATAAATCGCTGCTGTTTCTTTTATCCTTTTTTTAACCGACTACCACACCAGAACCCAATTCCCAAGAAAGTAACTATATTTGAATATTAAACAAAAGGTTCAAGAAGATTTCCACGTTATATATTCTAAGTTGCTTCATTTGAAACGTACATTACTTTTTTCGTTTCATTGACAAAATATTGCTCTAAACATTGGAAAAAAAATTCTTATCAAAATTGTTCTTAATTTTAATTTTTAGTATGTGTTAAATGAATAGGAAATTTTAAAATAAAATAGCGAGTACTAAAAATTAAAATTAAGAGCTGAAATTTGCCGAGAATTTTTTTCCCAATGTTTAGAGCAATATTTCGTCAATGAAACGAAAAAAGTAATGTACGTTTGAAAAAAAGCGCACTAATGTATATACAGGGTGTTTCTTAATAACGTGCTAATATTTGAGGTTATTCTTGGGTCCATTTTAAGAAAAAAACTTCATATGAACATTGTCCTAAAAGTCCTAACTTTTCAACTACAGGGTGCTAAAGTTTTATGAAAAAACTTTTTTTTGGTGATAATTTTGGTATTACCCTAAATATTTTTTCAAATTTGGTACTCGCCTTCTATTCATCGAGATGCATTTTCTGATATACAAACAATTTTACTATTTTTGCCAGCGGCGTCTGTACAAGTTTCGTATTGAATATTTTTGAAGAAAAATATGTTACGCCACTGCTTTTTCTTATTCTGAGCAAATGTGGTGTCTTGAATTTTTTTCGTTTGATGTACGGTTTTCGCATAAAAAAATAAAATTCATTCATTTGTAGGCTGTTATGAAATTAGGTACTAATACGAATTAAAAACGATCTAGTACGTAAAAAGCAGATTTTGATTTGCAAACATAAACAGTTTTGACAGTTGTCTACCCAGTCTGGTTGTCACGTGTTTAAGTCATTAACATTACGAATATTATTTAAAAAACATGGTCCAATATACGAATTCTGAGTTTGCAGACATGCACTACATGTATGGGCTTGCTGATGGTAACACACTGGAAGCCAGGCGGTCGTATGGAGACTGCTTTCCAAATAGAAATATTCTGGATGCGCGAATATTTTCAAACATTCATAGAACATTGTGCGAAAAGGGAAGTTTTAAACCAGACAATCAACTAAAAGGAGTACACCGTACTGTAAGAACTCCAGAAATTGAGATAGCGGTATTGAATTCAATTGAGGAAGATCCAGCATTGAGTATAAGAAAAATTGGGAAAAATGTCTCACATATTCTTATTTGGAAAATTCTCCATGAGTTTTTATTATGTCCCTACCATATCCAACGGGTTCAAGCTCTACTACCTCGGGACTTTCCATTACGGAGAAACTTTTGACGATAGTTTCTTCATAAAGTCAATGAAAATTCGTTATTTGACACTGAAATTTTATTCGCCGATGAAGCCAATTTTTCTAGACACGCCATCCGAAACTTCCACAACAATCACATTTGCGCTGAAGAAAACTCACATGCAATCTTGGAATCCCGTCACCAGGAGCAGTTTTCCGTTAACGTGTGGGTTGGAATATGCGGTGATTATTTCATTGGACCCTATTTTCTTCACGGGAGGTTAAATGGACATAATTACCGGCATGTTCTCGAAGACGAATTGCCAGGTTTGATGGGGGTTGTTCCCATTTTAGTAAGAAATCGACTATAGTTTATGCAGGACGGAGTACTAGCGCACTTCAGTGCTGTGGCGCGCGAATGTTTAAACCAAAATTGCAACAATCGCGGGATAGGTCGCGGCGGACCACAGTCATGGCCACCTAGGTCCCCGGACCTCAATGCTTTAGATTACAGCACACCAATTCATACTGAAGAGCAGTTGAGAAATCGCATCATAGTTTGTTGCGAAACTATTAGAACCACTCCCGGCATTTTCCAAAGAGTGAGTCCGTGAGAAAAAGAGCAGAGGCATGCATATTTGCAGGAGGTGGACGTTTCCAACATCTGATATAATTTATTTCTTTGTGCGTTCAGGGTAGTTTTCTTTTACCATTCCGAAATGTATATAGATTACTGTAATTTTATAATTTCAACGTTTAGTAAGTTATTATCTTAAATAAATTATTGTTCCAAGTTACATTGGTAAATCTTTTTTTTTCTCGTAAGTGAATGAATGAATGAATTTAAATTTTTTATGCGAAAACCGTACGTCAAACGAAAAAAATTCAAGACACCACATTTGCTCGGAAAGGAATGAGGATTTCAAAAATGATTTTTACTTTAAGAAAAAGCAGTGGCGTAACATATTTTTCTTCAAAAATATTCAATACGAAACCTGTACAGACGCCACCGGCAAAAATAGTAAAATTGTTTGTACTTCAGAAAATGCATCTCGATGGATAGAAGGCGAGTGCCAAATTTGAAAAAAATATCTAGGGTAATACCAAAGTTATCACAAAAAAATGTTTTTTCATAAAACTTTAACACCCTGTAGTTCAAAAGTTAAGACTTTTAAGGCATATGTTCATATGAAGTTTTTTTCTTAAAATGGACCCAAGAATAACCTCCTTAAATATTAGCAAGTTATTAAGAAACACTCTGTATATACGATATAATAAATTTATTTTCTTGAGTATCGGGTTCTGATGTGATAGCAGGTTAAATGAAGATGAAAGAAATAGTGATGATTTCTTTCTTTACGTTTCTTTCCTGATCAAGAATTTTTTCAAAAGACTTTTATTGTTAAAATTATTATATAAAATCAACTAATTAAAACCTAAACAACCATTTTATGTCAATTTTTCTTTAGCATATATACATCAACCATTCAAAATTATAATAGACTTTTTTTAAATAATTCACTAACATTACCCTTTTTCATTTTAAATTTGAAATATGCTTGAATTTTTTTATTCGTAAAGTATGTCAGGACAATAATTTTAACAGAGAATGTGGTACTTGGGCAGGCTGAAAATGAAAATGAAATATATTATACCACTAAACAAAACGTTCAATGCATGATGTGATAAATGAATTTTGTTCAGAATTTCGAGGAGAATTGAAATATGGAACAATATAGGTACAGGGTGCTCCAATTAAGAAAAAGAAACTTTCTTTCGTTATAACTTTTCGACTGATACTTAAATTTTCTTTATAGTAATAGCTTTAAAAAAAGCCATAAAACTTTTGTGTGTTATTACTTTTCTATAGCTATCCTATTGTAGGAGATAATCGGCCGTTTCCATACATATCAGCGACCCCCAACTAATACCTACATATCTATCACTGACTTACCAATTTCAGCAAAAGAACATCTAAAATATCTCTAGTAACGTCGTCTATTACCTCAAAACCTTTAACGGTTGCAGTTTTGAGGCAAAGCTTGCACGAAGTTCCTTGAACAACAGCCATTGCAAAAATTTTCTTTGAAATGTAAATATAAAACCGTAACTTGTGTTAGTTATTTAACCTTAATGGAAACAGAATAGAATTGACAGTTATTGTCCTTCTTCTTCTTCTTCTGTTATCGGGACAACAAGAATGGTAAAACTCGTCTATAATTCTTGCACAAACAATTCTTCTTGTACACAGCACTAATTTGGTTCTTCAGAATATGGCGCTGTTGGTTTACATCTGAAAAACCTGTTTTTTGTTCTTGAAGACGCTTTGCAAATAATTACGGTTGCATTGCCTGTAATAAGTGAAGTTTCCAATTTACTTGACAAAAAGTAGTAACTATAATGTATTTTGCATTTGAAAATTTAGATCAGATTTAAAGCAAATCGTAACCCTATCAAGTACTTCCAGCATTCCAAACATTAGTACCGGCAGATTATCTTTTATTTGCGTGGCCACCACGTTCTCCTGACTTAAAAACTATAACCTATTTTTAATTAGTAATAATTTTTTTTTGTTGGTCAAAACATTAAACGTGTCCAAAAGTGTTTACGAGTCGATGGACATAATTTTGAACGTTACATACTGATTATATCCACAAATAAAATTTAAACCAACTCTTTTTTTTTTGAAAAGTTTTTAATCATTACGCCTTCCCATTTTGCCAAGTAGATAGCGCCATCTACCAATAATTGTAGACACTACCTTACATAGCCGCCTCGTTGACTGAAATAATACATATACAGAGTGTTTCCAACAACGACCGCCTATAAATTTAAAGTATACTGTGATATTTATTATCATATATTAACACCATTTTTACTCGAAAGATGGCGCCACAAATTTAATTCCTAGACCTAAAATTCTAGAATTATCATTTTGGTTCAGATCAATTTACAGATTTTTATATACAGAATAAAAACTGCGTAAAAACAAACAAAAGTTTTAAACACAGTTTAAAACAGTGTAATGCGTATGTACTGAAATTATATTTAATTCATTTAATGCTTCAAACATATATGTATAATCATGTAATAGTGCACAATAAAATCTAAAGATTTAAATTTATATTTAGGCCTTAAAATAATACTAAGAAAATACAATAGGGAACAGTGTTAAGAACGGAAATTGAAGTCCCCATCTAACAAAGTACTACAATATTCATATAGATGTCGCTACAGGAAATACGTTTGTAGTAAAAATAGTAGGATAATTTCATTCGTTCAAATTCCCGCAAAATACACCTAAAAAAAACGAGAAAATGACGGTACGTCAGGTGCACGATGATGAGTTGTCCGGCCTATACATAGATAATACAAGGCCTATACGTCCATCCCACTCTCGCATCGCATAATTGCATACGAAAAGAGAAGGGTAATAAAATAATAAAAACTCCAATTTGCAGGAATCGGTTTTTTTGTTCTGAAAATATTTCCATTTTCTATCTTCTACATATTATTATGTACATATTTACAAAAAAGGAGGATGGCAAGTGGTTGTACAAATTTATAACATTTGCAGCCAACTAAAAGTTTTTAGTCCAATTAAATAAGCCTTTAAATCGAAATTTTGGTCAAATTGCCTGAATTTTTGATATGAGTTAGTTTAAGGTATATTATAACAATAAGTGAGAGTAATTTTTTGTTCAACCCCCGGCCAAGGGTGGAAAAAGATAAAACAAAGGGCTTTTTCAAGATAACTCAAAAAGGGTAAGAGCTAGAAAAAAAAGTTTTTCATGAAAGTTGTAAAGCAGACAATTCTACATAAAAATGGCCTCTTAACTTTTTCTTGTACTATTACAATTAACAGAGTTAGGGAGGCTAGAAGTTAAGGGAAGATTTCAGAAATTTAA